CAGAGGTAAGCAGACGACCTTGCCAGGACGAGGTGTGCATCGTTTTGTGATGGCTGCAGGAGGTGGGGATAGGCGTTTTTGGGCCTCAGCTGTGGCTCACCGTGGTAGGGGCGGGGACGAAGTGTGTGTGTGTCGGTGATATCCTGCATGTACGGGCACGCATTAACAGTTGCTGATCTTAAGGTTGGCGCCAGCCAGTCAACCGCTATCGGAGACGATCGTAGTGGACACCTAGGTCAACATGGCGGTTGATGCTGTCCGCACCGGAGTGCCAGGCCTCAAGGAATTCCCGTGCCTGTTTGATGTTAGCCATGGCGACCACCTCGGTATCGTCCCAATTGAAACGGTGGTCACAATCAAGAGTGTGCGCAAACACGAGAGATAAGGGGTCGCGTCGGTGCATAGCCAGCTTGTGTTTATTAATACGAGTCCTAAGTTGTCGACCCGTGTGACCAATATAAACATAACAGCAGTTAGCGCACGGGATGAGGTTAGTGACGTTAGTTTGTTCTTAGGGTATGGGGCCTTTTACCCGGGATATTTCTGCGCCTAAGGAGGACGCCGGCTTGTGGGCAATACAGATGCCGAATTGGTTTATTTGTCGGGCAATCGCTGAAGTGGCATGCATTCCAAGCTGTCGTAATGAAAAAAGACGAGCTTCTTTAGGGAGTAATCGAGTTGTACTCGTGTACAGCCCCTGAGGCTAGGACCGGCATTCCGTTAGTTAAAAGTCAAACGCTCGAACCTCTGAGCCACGGGTTGCGCAGACATGCAGAGCCCTGCGCAGTCACCTCCGGATCTGCATAAGTGAGTATTTATTAGCTAGCATGCCCTACGACTGTCGCTTGTTCTGTTGCTGCTAATATCAATGAGGATGGGCTCCTGCACCAGTTCGACAGCCCAGAACGTTCCGGTGCCCGACCAATCTTCTACACTCATATGTAATGGTAGTCGCTCACCAATCTTTTTTTAGAGAACTCACATGTCCCGTCGTGCCTTAGGGCTCTCTCTAAAGTCCAACGAGCAGTCGCACAGGTGCGCATGTTATAGGCAGAATAGCATTATCAAAGACTGGGATGGCCATTTCTGGCTTATTAGCCAAACAAACAGGTCGCGAGTTCGAGCCTCGGGTGTGCCACACTTCGGGGTTGGGTATGACTGGCTGACGACGGCTAATAAGCCAGAAATGGCCATTCCAGTCTCCCTTGTCTTTGTCGGCAATATAATTCTGCCTATATCATGCGCCGCTGTGCGGCTGCTGGTTGGGCTCGAGATAGAGAGACCATAAGGCACAACGGAACGAGTGAGTTCCGTAAAAATGACCGGAGAGCGCCCCCTATCATTGTATATTCCCCATCGAAAACCGACAGGGCAACGAGCCCGTAGCTCAGTGGCTGGAGGCGCTGTACTTCTAACCAACAGGTCGCGGGGTCGAGCCCCAGGGTGTTGCACACTTCGGGGTTGGGCACGGCTGACTAACGACGGCTAAGCCAGAAATGGCCATTCCAGTCTTTCTTGTCCTTATCAGTGATGCTATTATGCCTGACTCTATTTGTCCAGCAACGCATAACCTATTTTTTGAATAACCCTGGACTAGACCCGAGTCTGTATGGCCACCAAGAGTTATGTCCAATGTCTTGCTATTAAGCCACACCCGTTTTCCTATTGCATGAATTGGTGAATATTAATTTACATGGAGGATCATTAAACGACGTAGTTGGAGTACGAGACTCATTTCGCTTCTCTTGCAGATTGACACAGAACTCTTGTCAGCATATTATTGTGTAGCCAAAATCACTTACTTTCGACGTGAGCTGTCATCTACGGTTCGACGTATTTTTATCGCACTAACTGCCTAGAGAATGGGTTGAAATTATTTTACACCTTATTTTTTCCGTTTTAGAATGAATGTCCGGACGTCCTATCTCACCATTTTAATTGTACTTACTGTCATAGTTTTCTTTCTCATTCGTTTACATGACCACTTTCTCAGTCATAAACTATTCCGTGAGGATGTCCATAAAACACCATCGAAATTTTACAAAGACCGCCCCCCAGACGTTCAAATAAAAATGGCGGTTGAACAGACAGCTGCTTTTTCGATTACATATGATTCGCTAAGTAGACAGAGTGTCAGGATCGTTCGCGAGCTCCACCATTTGGTCAAAAACCCGATGCTGAGGCCGGAAGAAATGCGCTCCTTCCATGATCATGCTACTCAAATGTTGGAAACAAGGCTGAATTTGATGGATGAAATCAGCGGTCAGTCTGAGTCTCGGCGTCATCGTTTATTAACCCTTAGCCACCGTCTGTACGAGCAGTTGCGCCGCCTACAAAATCCGCGAAATTGTGATACAGCACAGTTCATTACTACTACCTTCCCAGACCGCTGTGGCTTTGGATGTCATGCCCATCACATGTCCTACGTCCTTTCAGTTGGCCTTGCCCTTAACCGTACGCTTTTTATTGTCGGCGACCTGTGGAAGGATATATTCCTACCTATCACTCCCTGCCCAAACCCTCTGCTGGGACCAAATCTAGCAACAGGACGGATCATTAACTGGGGCATGTCCAGACATGTTAAGTCTCGTTTCAATCCGCCCACTTTGCCTCCGGAGTGGGCTTCTGCACTTGAGGGTCTCCACGGGGACCCCTTTGCATGGTTCCGAGGTCAGCTTCTGGCCTTCATACTCCGTCTCAAAGACGAGGCGTTCAAGTGGCGTCTGGAGGCCGAAATTAGGGACATACGGAGTCAAATGCCGTCCGGATACTTCACCTGCCCTGTTGCCGGTATTCACGTGCGTCGTACGGATAAAATTCAATTGAAGGAAGCTGAATTCCACAATCTGTCTGAGTACATGCCTTCGGTGGAGCGCTTTTTCCAACGAAAACTGATGGAGTATCAGTTGAAGACAGGAAGTAATGTGTCGCCTCCCTGGTCTAAATGGAAGAGGGTGTTTCTGGCCTCCGATGATCCATCCGTCTTTGAGGAGGCCAGACGGTCATATGCAGACTACGAGTTCATCGGTGATGAAAAACGTGCCACATCGGCCTTCAATCATTCAGTTCGTGCCACACTCGGAATTTATACCGATGTTCGAATGCTGGCCAGCACTGACTTTCTATCCTGCACTATGTCTTCTAATATTTGCAGAATGGCGTATGAGTACATGCTGGCTGATAATCGGATGAATAGTGATTCAACCTTGCACGCAGAGTCGGTGGACGTAATGTACTTCAATGTTGGTGAGCGGAAGCGCTGGTGGCGGGCCCTCGCAGACTACCCTCCACTAAACATATCTCGTGATGATCGAGTCTCTCCTATTGAGAACAAAGAGACCTATTTCCTGAAGGTTCAGCGAAGACAGAATGGTTTGAAAACTGAACTAAAACTTCCGACGTTTCTTTTTGAAGAAGAAGTCCTTCGTATCCCAGACCGTGATTAAAGTTTTAAAGTTGCGATCTATTTCTTTTTTAAACAGTTCATTAGGCAGGCCTGACTTGCTGTAGGCCAACATTTTGCGGCGGCGGCGGCGACTGAGAACTTTCCACGTTCGTCGCTGTTAACCACGCCCGTGAGCATTGTGTAGCTATTGGGTTCTAATTCGTCTTTATCTCGTTTCGAAGTCGTAACCGGTGTAACAGCTTAAATCAAAGAACGAGGCAGACTACCATAAGACATATAAGGTCGTAGAAATATTATTTGATGTAAAGAAAGAAATTGTTGGACCGCCTCTTGTCCAGATGCTGAATCGCTTATTATTTCCTGTCAACCATTTGCTTCATTATCCGACCGTTTACGCGCCTCAGCAAACAGAAATCGGTGCAGAATTAGCGATTATTCTACTGACTGTGTTTTCTCGATCGGCAAAGTGCCGACCAACCGCCTCGCCTTTTTGGACTTCCTCTTAGGGAGAGGGCAAGCCTGTGCAGTTCGTTTATGAAACTGGTTTCGTGAGTTTCTTTCTGCATTCTACGACAAGTGCACGGCCAAAGGAGCATTAATTTTGTCTGTGTAGACTATTCTAAATTTGCTAGCCAGTGAGTGGTGTTTTACGAATTTAATCGAGTATGTAAACGCTACTGCCATAATCAGGACACGCGCGCTCGCCTTGTGCGACTTGCCACATGCCACGTTTGAAGTCACCGGTTTGTGATGTCCTCTATCTTCTTACTACCTTGATTTCCAATCGCCTCACACATCTACAGGAGTTCCAAAAGTGCTTTTTGACACTGTTTGGCTTGTCTTTTGGAGTACTTGGGCCGATTTGAACAATCATTGAAAGTCTTTGTGCTCTTGGTGATGTTCCATGTGTAAGAAGGTCCGCAGTCTCTGTGCAGGAGTTCAACATGATTAGTTAAATGGCTTAGTCAGTAATTTGTCTTCGAGCGATTTTGATTGGGCAGAGCGTTATGGGTAAGTGGTATCAGATGATCGAAATTTTTGACAATCGTTAACAATCACAGCAGCATGCAGCACGGCTCTTGGTTTCAACTGGCGGTCGCAGCTCTGCTTACTTATGATAACTATGGGCTTTCTCAATCCTCTCTCTCTCTCTGAGAGCCTATTCCAACTACTCTATCAATATAATCCGGGCCGACTCACGTCGATTTGTTTCTGGTACTTATTTTAGTGTGCATTATCGCAAAGGCGTAGATAATATTATCAGTTCTTGTTACTCTTGATCTTTGAATGGAAATTGATCACTCACCTTAGTGAGAGAAACGCGGAGAAGTGAACTCTGATGATTATGTTCACCAGTAGGCCGCAATCCGGCCGTTGGTTTTGTCGCATGCAAACTTCTTGGCCTGCCCCAACAATAACAACAGCAGTACTAACCATTTCCAACAGGGGAATTTTGGTGGTTAACGGAAAAATATATCTGTGTGAGGGATTTATTCTGTTCGGAAGCATAAATCATCACCCCAGGCAGCAACGTGCATTAACAAGTTCAAGAATCGGGAAGTCGGTGTGTGCTGTTTTTATGTGCGCGTAGCGTCAGGTCAGGACAGCATGTTGTATCACGCGATGGTCGATTCTGTTGTTTGTGGGCTGTGCATGAAACGAGGCATGACAACCGCGTCTGTCTGGACTCACGTGTGTCCGGGCCGAAGTTGGCTGGGTGCATGCATGGGAGCGCGCGTTGAATAGGTGGAGGTGGCTTTGCAGCGGGCGCATTCGTGATGAAGGCGGGTGGCCTTGAGTTTTTTGGAGTCCTGAGACAGGCACGATGGGCAGTACAATGACTGCGATCGGCAATAGTTACGGTTGCGTATGACGTAATGCGTTTCGAAATCCTTCCACTTTACCGATCATTGTGGCTGGTAAGAGCGTTTGCAAGACATCAAAAACAGCAGGACAGAGGAAACACATGTTCCCGATGCCTTGCGACAGTGGAATCGGATAAATTCACATTGGTGCCGGTCAATGCAAGTAGATATAGGCATTTAGTGAGTTTGGAATAAGGAGCGTAGTGTCATGCGGAGTCATATCTTTAAAAAGCTACCCTATCCCCATCTTCGACAAACCAGGCGAGTTCCGATAAGTGCCCCGTTTTCCTTGCTACGAATCAAAATGATGTTACGGAACCTTGTTATTTTCCAGCGGTTTTTCACAGCGAGACACCATTGACCAACGTTGACTATGCTTTTGGATTTTACACAACACTTACTGGGATAAAAGCAATCAGAAGTGAGGATGCTGAACACATCTTCAGAAGTTTTGTTTTCAGGACTGGCGAGGTTTGCTGTGGCTAAATGCCACTAAACTGGTTGGAGGGCTATGCGGCTGTCGGCGGTCAATTTTTCTTAGACGAGAGGATCAGAATCATGTCCCAAGTTTGACATCAAAACACGATCGCATTGAAGGTCATTGCGAACAATTCATACATCTTGAGTAGTCATTTCTTACGAAATGCAGTTTACGCGGGCAGTCGATAGGAAGCTCATTCGAAAGTCGGCAACGTGATGTGATCGGAGTATGCTGCTATTATGCGATGTGATAATTCACTCGACAACCCTAATTAAGTAATCTCTTAAAGTTGGATGCGCATTTCAGATTTTCGGCCAAAATTTCATGAAATAGCACATCCACTGCACGTCTCATTGACGTTGTTGTAAGGGTCCTTGCCATCGTCGTTCTCAGACAGTTTTAGAGTGGATGACTAGAGGATTAGACCATATACCGAACTGGACGTGGATGAATGGACCAGATATTCACCCCGCGACACATCTGCCGCCGCTACCACCGCCATCGTTCGGCCAAGTCCAGCGGTTGGCTGAAAAGGATATCAGGATGGGGAATTTATTCTGCATGGAGGGAAGTCAGTTTTAGACCAGGTCCAAGAGCTAGAGTCTGTGGTGTGTGCCGTTTCTATATATGCGTTGCGCTAGATTAGGGCTGCTTATTGCATTACGCGCGGGCACGCCCACCTAAGTGTGCTTTGCATTACACAGTGCGCGACGATGGCATCGGTGTGAACACGCATCTGTCCAGCTGTTGTCAACGCATGTGGAAAAGGAGGAAGTGGCTTTGCAGAGGGCGCATTCGTGATGGTGGGTGGCCTTGAGTTTTTCGAGTCTCGAGACAAGGTGGGCGGTGCGAGGAAAGCGGTCGGCAGAAGTCGCAACTGTATATTACGTAATGCGCTTCGATATTCTCTCGAAGTACAGATCACTGTGTTTGGCAAGGTATAGTTTGGCAAAGTATGAACAACAACAGGGCACAGGACAAATGCGTTCCTGATGCCCCCTCCACGCTGTGGAACCGACCGAATCCGCATTGGTGTCAGCCGAGGCAAGTACAAATGTGTAGTCATTTGGTGTGGTTGAAATAAAGAGATCAATCCTGCCCGAAGCTATTGCCCCTTTCAAAAGCCAAATCGTTCCCACTTTTGGAAAAACGATCCGCGTTTTGTTCACTGCCCTATTTTCTTAGTTATGGATCAAAAAACTATAGACAAACCTTGTTCTTATGTAGAATTTTTTGCAGCAAAACATCGTAGACTAGGTTAAACTGTACTTTAAGGATCTGTACAACGTTACTGAGATTGTGGTGATCAGAGCCAAGCACGCTGGATATAACTTCGAAAGTTCTGCCCTCGGGTTAATATGTTTTCAAATGTAACGTCTGATACTTCGGCACCGGGGATGTTTGTCGCGACCTAAAGCCATAACATCAGTAAGGAGAAAACGAGAAAGTTAAATTTTGCCATTTTCCAGGACAAAGGGTTTGAGCCATATCTGAGGACAAACATCATGTCATGGTCTTCTGCTCGACAGCT